TGTGCATTTCCCCCACCCATCTGCCAATCAACTTAAAGAGAAGGGAGAAAGAGAGATAGAGATGGACATGTAGATGGATATAATAATTCAGAGATAGAGCTACAGCGATAGAGAGAGAGAGAGAGAGAGAGAAAGAGAAAGAGAGAGAGAGAGAGAGAGAGAGAGAGACATAGCGAGACAGAGACAGAAACAGAGAGAGAGACAGACAGAGAGAGACAGAAAGACAGAAAGAGGGGTAAAAATCCCCTGAAAACCCTAATCCCCTTTTTCTCATTTTGATCAAATTTGTCAAACCTGTGCCCCCCCCCCCCCCCCCGCCCGATCTTTTTTGTACAACTGAACTCACGTTACACCATAGTGTCACCAATTTTCCGTCGATAACCATTCAGCAGAATATTTTAATTCATATTTGAGCTCGGAGAAAGAAAACAATGAAGCTGTCAATATCAGTCGTTATATGTAATGAGGTGGGACATACCACCGGATAAATTGATAATGCTCTCGCGCAATTTCAATTTTCAACCGGTAAATTAATTCTCGAGTGGGTCATTGAACAGTTTAATGGGCTATTATATTCCTTTTTATATGATACTTTACTGGAATCACAACAAACTTTTTAAAAATCTTGATTTTTCATTAAGTTGGTGATTCTACCAAGGTTTATTTTGAAGGGAGTCTTTTATTCATCTTTGTTCAGAAACAAGTTGTCGATTGGCTTTGACTTTTCATTTAACACACAAAAACCGAAATGTAATTTAATTTGCTTGATATAATAACTCAGGATTTGCTTAGAAACTGAGGATCATATCACATTTGCAGGGCCGAAGCATGGTCTTTTGAACACTTAAAATTAGTTTTGTTGCTAGACACCAACATGTTGGAGCAAAAAAATAATATCACCATTCACAAAATGTGAATTGAACTTCGAAGATTGAACACCAAAAGATTGCTGTATAGTCCTAGAAGCTTTGTGACGCATATGATAATGCCGTTTACCTTGACAATTCTATTGGGTGCTGTTTAATCTGTATGCTCCGTCTCCTGCAAGTGATAAATTGTAGTTAATATAAATATGCCCTTTGCATTCGGTACATCTGTTTCTAAGTAACATCCAACATAAAATATGACCAGATAAAAATAAACGTGGCATGTTAAATTCACATCGAATTAATTTCAGACATTCATCGTAAATAGTTTTGCTTTTCCGTATCATCGTTAAAATACACTTCCTCTTCTTCTACCTCTCACTCTCCTCTTCTACCTTCTTTTTCTTTTGTTTCCTTCTTCCTCTCTTCCTTCTTTTTCTTCTTCTTATTTTCCTCTTCCCCATCCTCCTCATTCTTCTTCTTATTATTATTATTTTTCTTCTCCTTCCGCTTCTTCGTCTTCTTCTTGTTATCCTTTATTTTGTTTTCCCTCTTCTTTTGCTCTACCCTTATTTATCCCTTTTCCTGACATCCATGAATTGTTCTCTCTCCTGGGAGCAAATATTCAACCCAAATCATTCCAGTGGCCCTCTTACTTTTACAATAAAAATAAAGCATTTTAGTCCACCCTGTCATGATTGGTGAACATTTGAACTTTCCTGCAATCATTAAATCTTTCTGGGTCATTTGATTGAGATAGATGATCAATTAGATCAGGTCAGTAAGGTACACGAGATAATCACCGCCACTGTTTACACTAATGCATCATTAACATGCCATTATATGGGGGTGATTTCACACTTGGAACTTCTTCATATTCTATTTGACTCCCATGCATGTGTGAACGCATTTCTTTTTCTGCAAAACACGGAATAATATGTAACAAAACTATATACAACTTCTTGTTTATATTACCATGGTTTCTTATAATCATTTATGGATTTATAGAATGTCATAATTAATGTGAATGGGATGAATACGGTGCAAAGATGAGGATATGTTTGGTGAAAGGGACCATAAAGGGTATATCCCCTCACTGTAATGAGACATCTCTCAGATAGGTAGCCCTGACCTTCTGACCCCGGTGTGAGAGTGAACTTTCAGCCAATAGGAAGTGGTGAACCGTTCGTGGAATAAGTTCATCGGGATATGTGATAGATATGTCTGGATTTCCCCTGCTTAGCATGACGTCACCATCATCGGCACTTTTTTTGGGGGGGGGGGGGGGGGAGGGGGGTTATCATTAGGTGCTTTATAAAATTATTGTAGTTATCATTATTGTTATTATCATCTTCATCAACACTCGCCCAGATCACCATCATCACCAACTCCGCTTGCATTTTTTTTCTATCTGTACTTTTTTACTTTTTATGTAAATTGTACGTAATTTGTCTTGTTTTTTGTTGTTGTTGTGTTATTTTTTTTTAAATACCTGCAATGTAATATGATTGTATAAGATCAACTTAAGAGTGTAAAGGAGCTGGTGGTTATGTTTTGTATGCCCCCTCCATCAGTTCCAAGTAAAAGTACAGGCGAATAAATATGAGATATTACAAAAATCATCACCATGAACAATTTAAGTGTTTAGAGTACTAGCACTGAATGGTCATTCCAAGGATTATAATTACACTTTCTTGATTGGACACTATTCACATGTCGGTCCCACATACTTATTTAATCGTTAGTCTTAGTACGTGCGACCTTTCACTTTTCGTCCACCTTTCACTTTTCGTCCACCTTTTCTCCCAAATTGAAATCTTCATTGACCCTCCCTGTTGATGTATGAAGACCTTAGCATTCCATTGGAACCTGGATTGTGCAAGGTCAAGAGAAAGTGTAACCTTCTTCACTCAATTAGCCCTGCTACATCATCGTATGTGATCACGTTTCACATTTTACCATCAATTTCGAAATGGATTTTGATGTGAAACATCGCTCACAGATCTACATTTTGTCACACGTTCGGTTTCGTCTAATATTGATTTAATAACTCACGGTAGTTTCTTTAACTTTACTTTAACATATTGAGTACACTGTTATTTCTGTATACCATAGAAAGACAAAGCGATCAAACAACATTTATATTGAATGGGGAGAGGGCGTATACCATGTAAAATATTTACCGATTCCGCCATTTTACAATATTTGTCGAAAAATACAAACACAAGTTATCAAGGGCCTCGGTGATCATTGAATAGAGGGGACGGACTACATTTAAAGATCTAAGATCTTTGAAGGTTAAAGTTCTTTTGCTATTTGTTATACTCATAGGGAAGCCCAACATTATTATAATAATTGCTATCATTATTTATTATTACAGAAAGTATGCTACCGCCTCGTTGATATACAAATGTTGAACTCAGTCAGGAAATCGAAAAACATCGAGTTAAGGAACGTTATAAAAATAGTATATTATGTGTACAGAAAATCATCAGATGCCCTTTAATTTGTTTTCATTAAAGACGATATATGGTTCATCTAACCATGGACTTACATGTAATTATGATCAAACAACCTTCTGCCAATGGATTAAGATTAAGATTAAATTCAAGGATCAAACCTTTAAGGGCTTGTTGGGTTTACAATTGCGAGACAGACTCAGACAATAGACCCGATATATTTTTCTCACAGCGCTCAGGATTCAACGTGCTGTGTTACGATAGGATTTGATTACATTGTTATTTTGCTACGATAGCAAATATATGACTAATATTAGATTTATGTCTACATGGGTTGTAGTTCATACACCATTTCCTCATCTGCACATTGTCATTGGCCTCGACAGGATATTATTTTTTTTAAAGATCAAAAGATGTTTATTTTTCTTCAACGTTCGGATAATTTACTATTATGACAGTCACAAGGAAGCGTTTGGTGTATTGTATAGTAAGATAAAGGAAGATTGCGTGCAATAGTACATTTGATGGGTCGGCCAAAATGAATTTAAAACCTGAAACCTGGGGATGGTTAATTGTCAGATTGTTAGGCGGGAATCATCGACACGAAATAAAAAGAAGAAGAAGAAGAAGAAGAGAGAGAGAGAGAGAGAGAGAGAGAGGGGTAGTTTGCAGGTACAAATCAGTCTTTTAATCGTAACGGTGTTTGCACTATGAGGCTACAATATGCTCGGTACTTTAGCCGCGCCACACCCAGGAACTGACATATCTAGGCTCTGATCAAGGCATTACGAGTTGTGTTAATGTGTTAAATTGGAGTCTGTGCTTGCAGACTGTGGGGATGGGATGTTGACACGCTAATGATTATCACCTTTTATGAGGTATTATCTTCCTTTCTGTGTAACCAGATGTAAACATGTAATAGTATCTCGAACTAACGTTGTTATCTTATTATTGTCAATGATGGATCGTAGCATCAGGGGACTTTCGAGCAATACGATTTTCATGAAATGTATTATGATGAAACTGGTAAATCATAGTGTACATAAGCAGGTGAAATAGCACGGGGTACATTGATTTTAAAGAAGACACCTGTTGAGCCCGTGAGCAAATATAGCTGAAACTCTCACAATAACCCATGCTATCTAAGAATAAAAGGTCCAGTCCCTCTGTACATACAATGCATTGATGAGTTGAGAAGTAGATTGTTTAGATAGACTCTGCTACATTTCTTCCCTTTTATCGATTATTTGATACATTTAGTGCTACCAGCGAACGATATCTCAATACATACCACTCCTTGCATAATGTCGTCTGTATATTCATGCGTATAACAATGGCTATTCACAGATACCATATTCTTTATCTTTCGACATTTACGACCCATCCAAACTAACATTCATCTGATAAAAATTATCACCTCTACCCTCGAATGATAAGAAAAAGGATAGGGGAGAAGAGGAATAGGAGAAACAGAGAGAGAGAGATTTACCTAGTATTGATTGAACCCACGCCACCTTTTTATGACTGTATTAAGGTTTATTTGCACAAATATTGAATACATCATTAAAATAAAATCATACTGCAATTTAATAGCAATTTATTCACATCATGATGTAGACCTGTACTCCGTGCTTGGTGTTTATTTCTGAACCCTTGTTTTTCATTTGTGTTACAGGAATGTCCTTTGAAGTGAAGAAGAATGAGAAAGCAGAAGATTACTATATCGTGAAGGAAGAACTTGGCAAGTAAGTGCAATTTAACAATGGTTTTCCTTCCTTCGTTTGTTGCGCTTTCTCTTTTCCCTTTTCTTTCTATTTCTCCCCCCCCCCCCATCTTTTCTCTCTCCCTCTTTCCCGTCTTTATCCACATGCTCTCCCATATACCCCATCTGTCTGCCTAACACCGCCCCCCCCTCCTTTCTCATTTCCCTCTCCATTACGTCCACCTTGAGAAGCCTCATCAGCATCATACTGTTTTCTCCTGATGGCGCTGCAATTATTATCACCACATTAATTGTCAGGTATGTACTCCTGGATGGGGAGTGACCTGTCTTACCATGGACCTAAGGGTGTTAAAGTCGGGCTTGGATTCGAATCCTCAACTCTTGGATTGAGAGTCAAGTGAAAGAAGCACCATACCACGATAACGATCTTTCGCCCACCTGTCCCTTCCCCCTTGTTAGCATCTGTCCCCCTCTCTCTCTCTCTCTCACACACACACACACACACACACACACACACACACACATTCTCTCTCTCTCTCTCTCTCTCTCTCTCTCTCTCTCTCTATCTATCTATCTATCTCTCTCCACTTCTCCCTATACCCGCTTTTGTCTCTGCTCCATGCCTCCGGATATAATCTATACTTGTCTTATGATTCTATTCATCTATTCTAAGTTCTGTCAGTCAATGTTCCAGCTTTATACACAATACACAATAAACACATGATAACAGAGCGGTTAAGGGTATCAATTATCAAGCATTGATTTAATGTCTTGATGGAACAAAAGGAATTCCTCGGACGATAGATGTGCAAAATACGAGCCGATATTGACAATAACATTTATTTTTTCATGATCTATATTGTAATAGAATTTGAAATCCCACCCCATCATATATAACCCCGTATTAAACTGGTATATATATATTTGGTCATAGCCCTACAGGTATATCATATAGGATACATCGGTTTAGAAATCTGTTTTTATAATGTTATAGTTTATGTGTTTGTAGGAATCAGGAAATATGTGCACTATTTGAACTTATTTACTGATTACGAAACCAATTCCAAATACATGGACTTCTGCAAACTTGCATTATTTTGTAAAGAAGAAATTGCTCCTATTACACATGTTACGTGTACTTTTTAAATATTTAAACAGTACATATATTGTGTCCATTAGGTTGATAATCTACTGATTTAATTTATTTAAAAGTGTTACTCAATCTCAATATTCAAAGGTTACTACATGTTCATATGAGAGTTCCTAAAATGTTATTGTTGAAGATATGCGATTAACAATATATTTACATGATGAGAAGGGCATGCAGTCAGCAAACAATTACGGAGTGGCATTCATTCAAAAATTCTTCCTAAAAATGAATATGAAACCAAGCTCGCATTCCACTTTAATTTCCTCCTAGTTCCCTAAAGATTTGTAATAAGGAAGGATTACAATAGTTTCACTTGATCACGCTTGTGTGTTCGCTTGGACCACTCGGTTTTGCTTCGACTCTAACAAAGTCTTTCGACCCTACCTTCATTACTACCACTCTCCTTTGTAATTCGGGGCTAATCCGATCCTTTAGGAATCCTCTTTTAAAGATTGGCACTAAAGACCATATCGATCTTCGATATGTCAATTACTGGACGGTTTGTGTTGAATAGGAGGACGTATGAGGTCTGATGGTGCCGTATATATAGGGAAGATGGGCGAAGATAATCATATACCCCCTAAGAGTTACGCGGCCATGAATAAATCGAAATAAAGTGGATCAGTTTATTCCTATCATTACTACACATTGACGACTTTGACTTCCTAAAACTTTTGTCCTGTGAAGTTGACTGTTACGGGAGATTTCTGAGAGGATTAGAAACAGTTGATGAGGGACATTATACCTTACATGAAGTAAACACTAATTGCCCAATGTTACTGTAATCTAATAATTATGTGTCCGACCTTCTCTGGACAAGCGGCCCCCTTACATGAATCGGGTAATTTTCTGCCAATTTTGCATCGACCATTTTATAATTTGATGACAAGATAGAGTAGGCCTATCGTGATTTGCAACATGGGCATTAAATCGATTTAATATGTGATTGATATTGGGAAAGTAGAATATTATCAAAATGCATTTCCCTCCTAACGAACCTTCTGGAGAAAAGAAAAATCTCATGTAGAATTTTAAAAATCCTGGTAAAGTTCATTTGAATTCTAAACGTGATGTTTTATATGTGATTTGGGGCGATGTTTTCATGGATGTTTTCCAATAAAACATAGATTTGTTTAGGTCCTACGAATGTATTTTGTTTAAACTAAAATAAGGCACATGGGGACTTGTTTCTTGATCTACGTTCCATGGTCCTCAAATTACAAATATCCCATCCCCTTGTAAATTATACAATGCACGTCGTCAGTAACAAACAAAATGGCGCCATTCAACATGTTTAAAATATTTCACACTCTCTATAAACAGGAGGCAAGAGCAAATACTTATTGTCAATCGTCTTAAAGTGAGCAAGAAATGCTCGGGGTCATTGAGCTAAACACACACCGCCTTCAAATGTCAGTAGAATAAGAAAAAGAAACCATTTGTAGCAAATCTAGCCCCAATTATCTATTGTAATTCGTGTTATAAGGGGTTTATTAGTAATGCATAAGCAATCCATCCTCGACCAGGTATGTTAAGGCTTGTTTCTTTTAATCGTAATGTTCATGAAAACATAAAGCTCATACCATCTTGGACCTAGATTATTCAGTAAGATACCGCAAGAATGTTACGAGTTCATCAAAAGGATATCTTTTCGTGCTTATCTCATTGTAATGTATCACTGGATACGAATACATCTTGGTCACAGGTTAGTTTCAACAAACGATAGCAGTCAAACATTCCTTGCATTTGTTTTCCTCTTGCGATTGTATTGTACATGAGTCTCAAGAAAATGAATAGAAGATTGATTGCATAAGTGCACAAGTAAGGGTGATCAACAATCAATCGATTGAAAATGAGTCGATATTACGAAAATATAACTATGACCATGACCTCAGCACCATAGAATGACTACAGAATATCATAAGGAGAAGGATTTTCAAAAGAAGAAGGAAAGAAACAAACATTTAATTATATATTAATATTATAGTAAACGATATTAATTTCAATGAAAATTATATGAAAGTTTTCAAATCTGTAAGAGATATTTGAACAAGTTGTGTCTGGCACTGATTGCTTTCGTTGCTGCACACGTTTTGTATGTTGTTTATGTACATTGCATCTGTAAATTGTATGTTGGATATAGAGATTCATTCGAATAAGTCATTGCAAAGGCCTAATTCGTGGATCACTAAAAGATTTCCCCCCTTCTTTTCCCGTTCTCATTTCAATACGTTCAATTGGATTCACACTCTGACTCAGTATGACCCCTTCCGTATCTATTTGTCATTTACGTAACAGTACGTCGACCCTTTATTTTTTATGGTTTCACCTGCTATGAATGGAAATACAATGTAGTACGATTCACTTCACGGATCTGATTTTTTAAATACTTAAATCCGGTGGTCAAACATATAGCACTTTGTTGTCTTGAAGAATAGATGAAAATGAAACAATCCACTCTGTAAGGATATTGAATCCATCAGTTTCAGTTTGTTTTAAGTAACAGCATTCGTGCATACGTAAGATGCATGCATACATGTAATTGCATATTCACTAATGGAGAAGAGAAATTATTCATTGAGTTTAATGAATCGTATGGAATTGCTTTGGCATGTAGTTTACTGAACTTTGCGACCCGTAGGCTAATTAACATCCAGTTTACCTTGAAGAAAAAAGTGATAGCTTATTATCAAATGCTGCCTTTGCTAATTAAAGAGAAAGTAGTGTTTCCTTTGCTGAAAAAGTAGTGAATTGTTGATTTAGTCATTTTAAACTTCATCATCTCAGATTAAAATATCACTGTAATGATGTAGTTCAAACCCAAAATTGGTAAGTTATTGTGACCCCCATATTTTTAGGAAAAGAGGACAAATGAATCCATGTGGTTTTAAAACTCAAGGTGGTAGTCAACTTATTTAAACCCAACCCCACATTAATGATAAGTATGTGTGATGATAGAGGAGAGAAAATGAGTGTCAATCAATGCTAATCAATTGAACACGGAGGGAAAGGTCATAGAATGAGATATAACGAGATGGGGGAGATTGAAAGAAAATATTACAAATTCAAAGACTAGCTGCGATTGAGTCTCTAAAATGAGCATATCTAATATAGGACAGAGTGGGCATACGCCCCTCCCTCCCTTAAATTCCCCCAAAATGCCCCACTGCGTCCACATGATACAAGATGCAGCCCCACCCACCCCTGTTTACCATCTCATTGGATACGCCACTGTCTTATGCTAAATAGAACCAAACTTAACATTATAATGTATAGTATGAAGACATGTCTCGTTGTAATTCTCACTTTATATGTCACTGCTCAAACTGATAATAACAAAAGTACAATTTCAAATCCAATTTCCGATCGATGATGGCGACATGATGGGGTGAAATTGTCCTCCTAACTCCGTTGTTTCTATAGGTTGATAAACACATTTCCGAATTCATGTGATTGAATAATGTTATATCCGTTCGACCTTGTAATAGGTAATTTGCTATTAATATATTTAAAAGTGATTTTCCCTCCATCTTCCCTCAATGTACTTTGCCATTTCCGATATACCCGTAAAGCCATTACTAACTTTGTTTTGTTCATATATTTTGGCATAGGCCTATCTTTGAGCACACGTCCTTCCTTGTCTTTGTGATACCAATCTTCGTGGCCATTATCAAAACTAACAATCAATCGTTACATGATAAACAGAAACCTCAGGGTTTTTATGTCATCGTCATATTATTTCCCCACATCTTCTCGGTCAATTTCACTTCCCCGTTTATTCTTTCGTCGATTTACGTCTCAGTGTGTATTTTATTTCCCCGATAAACGTGTACTTTTGAAGGATCCAGTATAAACATCCATGTGCGTCTGATGAAAGTAATACCTAGGCTACACTTATATTGCGCACGTATCCATCTCATGAATGCTCAAGGCGCCTACATTAGTACAAGTAGTATTATTGCCCTGGCTTTAGCCCAGCTGCCTCCACACCTGGGTGGAGAGTGGCAAATGTAGATCAACGTCTTGCCAAATTACATTAATGCCGCAGCGGGACTCGAACCGCGAACCATGCAATTCACAGACCGGTGACGTATCCACTAGCCCAAGACACCCTAAACCATGGTGTAGATAAACATGATACAAATGGAAATGGAAGATGCATCTGTGGAGAAGGGGGGAGATGGGGAAGGGGTGGAGTGGATCAAGACGGTCTCCAAAGCCACTGGAGGAGTAGTAAATAGATGAGATGAGATGACGACGAAGAATCAAAGAGAAGACGGGAATTAGATTGAAAAAGGAAACTGAATGATTGAATGACGAAGAAAACTACAGAAAAGGCCAAAATACATACAGTGTATGCAATGAGAGAGAAAAAAAGAAACATACAAATGCATGGTAATTGTACAATGATACACTGATATAGAAATATGAAAATAGAAAGCATGGTACGAGAGCAATGAAGACAAATACGGGAGAGAGGGGGAGGGAGAGGGGTAAAGATAGATAGAGAAATATAGAGAGAGTTATAGAGAGAAAGAGAGAGAAAGGGAAGGAGGAGAGAAAAAGAAAAAGATTAAGCAGAGATTTGAAATAAAAACCTGTTTAAATCTAAATGTCAAGTACCACTTCCAAGCGCCTCTCTCTCTATGAGTCTAACGGTGTACTAATTGAAATATACTTTCTCGCCCACCTTCTTTGCAGTCACGTTAACATGAGCAAAACATAAACAAGCTCTAGATTCTCATTAAACAGTAATTACATTGATATGTATTCACAGCATGTTTATTGTTGGGGGAGGCAGGGGAGTATGGGCTTAGCCATCATAATTATTATCATTTTGATGAACGTTTATGGTCATGATGGAAACAAAAACCCGCAATTATGATTATATATGTTTTCACTATTTACGAGTAGGCCTATCCATGCAATGTGTTAGTTATGTAATAAATTGATCAAGAGAGGGCAGTCTTAAAGGTAAATAACTAAAAACAGACAAAGATAATTTCCAAATCAGTCCAACCACGGACCTAACATGGTCTAACTGAGCTTGGGCAGTAGATTAATTGAATCATTTATCAAGGCAAAGATTGGAGTAAATTACGTAAACCGAAAGCCTTCAAATTAAGTTCTACTTGTAATTACATGACGCGACACTATCTTTTACACTATATAAATATAATAATGTGTATGTTGTTTTGAACTTTTTAAATAAATCTATAGATATTTATCACGCATGTGTCTAGAAGATGATTCATAATTTTGTGTGTAATATGGAAAAATGATTAGTATTGTAAACAAAATATTCTACTTTCCTGGTAATAAATCCACCAAATGATAAGCCGGTCGGCAAGAGAGAAAGAAAGAGAGAGAGAGGGGGGGGGGGGGGGGGGGAGGGGGGGGGGGGGAAGAAGGAGAGAGAGAGAGAGAGAGAGAGAGAGAGAGAGAGAGAGAGAGAGAGAGAGAGAGAGAGAGAGAGAGAGAGAGACAGAGAGGGGAGAGATATAGAGAGAGGGGAGAGATATAGAGAGAGAGAGAGAGAGAGAGAGAGGGGAGAGATATAGAGAGAGGGAGAGAGAGAGAGAAAGAGACAGAGAGAGAAAGATAGAGAGAGATTGTCCTGCTTAGATAGAAGCATGGCGCAACGTTGACCGTAACTATGTATTGAAATCAGACGACTGCATTCGACATAAACATACCAAGATTGCACACATGATGAGAAATAAATCACAGCTACTATGTGCCAATTGCTATTTTCTTTCCTTCAATTTACACTCAAGTTTTTATGGTTCTTGCTGCTAGTCTGTCTTGAAGTTCCCTGTATTCTACATGGCTACCATAGCAACCATGCAGACAGTGTTGATAAATTACTATTTGACTGTGGAGTGACAAGCCACTGTGCTCCAGTGTTTTTATAGCGTATAAATATTACCACAGACAGGTATACCATCGACTAAACATCATCCCTGGTTAATATAATACCAGGTAGCTGTGACTTAGGATATGCAAGCAAGCTTGTTACTAGATGTATCGAATTCATTCCTTCACAAGGTTTTCCATTTTTAACCTCTCGGTAATTTGGTTTAGGATTCCTTTGGAAAGAAGATAAATATATATTTTGTTTTAATATTTTAAAAAGATCAAAAACAATGTTAAACATTGTCCAGATTATTTCAAAAATAATGAACACCTATTCCTCCTTTAGTTTCAAGTTCATTCTTGATTCATTCTGACAGTTCCTCTAATCTTGAAATTAAACTTGAAGGTTTAATAGAGACTTTCTTTCACGTTTTTTAGAAGATTGGTGCAGAATTGGTGTCCAATTTGGTTCAAGAACGCCTCCTCCCCTCTCCTCCCCCACCCCACCTCCCCACCCCAGCGCACCACTCGTTTCGTTGCCATTTTTATGGGCTGACTGGCTGATAACCAACTTCTTTGTAAATAATAATAATAATTCGAATGATCTTAACACGGGATCAAAATAAATGAGGAAAAACGTAACCTTTCTAAGATGAACACAAAATGATTTGGAAGAATCTTTTAATGTGATATGTTGTTTAGCATGATTGGTATATCCCTTTTCATTTGTCTTTCAGGGGTAAATTTGGTATCGTATACCGCTGCGAGGAGAAGTCTACGGGTAAGACATGGGCGGCCAAGTATGTGAAGACGATCAGAGCGAAAGACAAAGAGGCCGTTCAACGAGAGATCGACCTCATGTCAGAGCTGGAGCATCCATCCCTCATGGCGCTCATCGAAGCTTATCAATCATCGAGACAGACTGTCATGATCCTCGAGTGGTGAGTCAATCGCTTTCAAATATATACAACTCTTTAAAAGCCCCACCGTCCTACTTGTAGCTACTTGCTCCCTCTATATAGAAAACTTCCCCAATCGGTGCCTGTTGGTCCCCCATGACCCTCTTTTTCTTATGTTAGTTGAGAGCTGAGTTAATGAGATAGCCACCTGTCAGTGACCTCGCTGTGTGGTCTAACACCTTCTGGCCCAGTAGTATTGAAGGTCTTTAAGTGCTATTAAATGTCACGATCGCGAACACTTCCGAGACATCATCTTAAGGGCAATTTTAATATCATGTAATTATTATTTATATAACCCATATAAAACATACTTGGATGACGTCACACATCATACATTTCGTACTTTTCAAACTGTGATGAACGTGGCTATTGAAATAGCTTGAGGTGTTTTTTCGAAAGTCTTTGCGATCATGTTGAAAGAGTCAAACTGAGTTTACTTTAGTTCAAAGCGAACTGACAGAAATCAGACAAGGAAATAATGAAGGTTTAATTTAAAAAGGGAAGGTAAAGGGTTAGACTTTTTAATTCCTGTTCTCCTGCCAGTTCAAGGGAATATTTAGGATAGTGTGACATTTTTAGGATTAATGAACTCTGTGGTTTAGTTGATACGGGCTTTTTGCAAAACTGGAATCGCGCCAGCTACGACGATCTTTGTATGAGGAAATGTGATTCACAATTATTGTATACACCCTGCCTTTTGGTAGCCATTGGCGTATCCATTATAGGGTGAAACTGTTTTCCTTTCCTACTTTATTGTTAAGTGAATGAAGTAAACATGTTGATCTTTAGAATATGTCTTTCCATGATAGATGGATATCGGGATCAACGTATTATTCACCCCTTTTATTACACCCTTGAATAAATCCTATATCCATGAAAACTTTACATAGTTGTATCTAGGAACGTAATGTCATTTTTTCCTATTGCAATGTTTGTTTCTTTGAGCAGTATTACAGGAGGAGAGTTATTCGAGAGGATAGTGGACGATACATTTGACCTTACAGAGAGCGAGGTCATCAGCTATATGAGGCAGATCTGCGCAGGCGTACAACACATGCATCATCACAACATCATGCATCTTGATCTTAAACCGGAGAACATTATGTGTGTGAACCGAACGGGCTTTCAACTCAAGATCATCGATTTCGGATTGGCCAGGAAGTACGAACCGGACAATGACGTCAAGGTCGGTGTTAGCTTATTTCGATAGCGTAGCTACAGGGTTCAGGGGAAGGGACAAGTGCCCCATAGCCTAACCCCAACCCCGCCCCCCTAAATAGAATGGTAAAAATACAAAAAGGGAAGAAGAAAAAAAAAGAGAGGAAAGAAAAGGGAGGAGACAAGAAGCTGATATGACCCATGCAATACCCTACACCTGATCAATAGCCTTGTTACAGTGAATGTTATCCACCTGAGTAAGATCGATGGCCCTTAATGCCCCCTTTGCTATCTTGACCTACGCATTTTTTCAACATAATAGAATAAAAAGTAATATACAAACTAGGTACATTAATATCAACATTAATGTCAACAAAAGTCAAAAAACATATGTAAGCATATCATAATATAAATCAATTAGATATTAAATAATCATACCTTTATTTAAAAAATAGTTAAAAAATTACTTCAAAATTGAAAAATGCAGAAGACCGCCATCATAAGCTAGAGCTTGTCAGTGTCAGCTGCTAATCTTTGCTTGTATCAGTGGTCTGGACAATCACACTGTTTCAGACAATATCAGTCAAGTTTGGTAGGTGGATGAAAGCTATATCAACTTATAATAGATGAGGTAAGATGAATGTAAAATAACATTGCCAATTATTTTGATTAATGAATTGAGATTATTTCTTCAGTATTCTTCACGACGTAGGCCTACATATCTTCATAGTCAATTTGAAGTCAACCAGGTTTTTAATACACTTGTACTTTTGTGTAAAAATTAACTTATTTATTCTATTATAGCGCCCCTCTTGTGATCTTGTGAACAATTACAATGTAACTGTGGTAATTTTTTCTTCTAAAATGTCTTTGTCATGTCCAGGTTTTATGTGGAACGCCGGAGTTCGTTGCCCCGGAAGTAATAAGCTATGATGCTATAACTCCATTGACAGACATGTGGAGTGTGGGGGTCATCTGTTATGTTCTGTAAGTACATGTACACAATCCAACCATTGAAATAAATTAAATCAGCATTAGCATAAATGCTATTGTACAGCAAAGATTAAACCATAATGATTTCCATAATTTCTATATTTCTTGAAATGTATAAAAATTTGATTTCCCAAAATTTGTTTGTCGTTTTCTTAAATAAAAGCCGTTTGTAATTTTGGTGCGTTTGGTGAAATAATAATTGATTGTTGATATTTGCATTTTCATGCTCTCGAAAAACGTTAACTTTTCTCTTCCTCCATTCCTCCATTGTTTCCTATCCGTATTTTTTCCTTCTTCAATATTCCTTTAAATACTCTCCACCTCTCTTTCTCTATGTGTCTTTTTATCCTTAATTGTTGTCTGCTTCTTCCCCTCCCATCCCTCTCAATCTCTGTCTATGTCCGTCTGTCTGTCTCTCTCTCTCTCTCTATCTTTCTTTATATCTCTATATCTCTGTCTATATCTCTCTCTCTCTCTCTCTCTCTCTCTACCTATTTTTCATCCTCCTTTCACTCTCTCTCTCTCTCTCTCTCTCTCTCTCTCTCTCTTTCTCTCATTATAATCCTCTATCATTAGACTGAGTGGACTGTCACCTTTCTTGGGAGACTCGGACTCAGAGACATTGAATAACGTCACAATGGGAGAATGGGACTTTGAAGATGAGGCTTTCGATGGTATCTCCAACTGTGCAAAAGATTTCATTTCAGATTTACTCGTCAAAGATCAAAGGTAAGACAATCTAAGACTAATATACAGCCCTAACTAACGTGTGTCCCTCGTTCATCCTCATTGTATGATATAAATAATTCATATTCCGACAAATTTATTTCTGTTTTTTGTTTTTGTTGCTTGAATGGGGACTTCTTTTGGGGAGAGTATCACTTTAGTAGTGAGCACTCTTAAATATTGGTTTCATGTGAAAGAACTTATCATAAGAATGCATAGGTTGCATTTGTAGATGTAGATTAAATCAACGAGTTTAGACATAGAATAGTGATATTGAATGTTACATAATTTATTTCCATCTAATTCAACAACATGGATAGAATATTATTGCAATGGAAAGGCACATGGATGAAACTTAATAATCGCCGACAATGTTAAAAGAAGTGCGCCATCTCTCTTTCTTTTCACAACATACGATCATTCCTTTTTGTAGAAGGAATTGCTGTGGAACAGTTCGACCCTGTGCAACGGTAGTCTCTCGTGCTCATGAAATATTTCATAAGTAAACTATACTCGTTCACCTTTATCAAGTTACAGTTAAAATGGGACTGTTGTCTATACGATTCAAACTTTCAGTAATTGCTCATAATAGTTCAACATCTTTTTTTATAGTATTTAAGCAAACAAATGCCTATTCTGAAGAACAACTGAGAGAGATAGAAAGAGAGAAAAAAGAGAGCGAAACAGAGGGAGAGGGGGAGGAAGTGGGAGAAAGAAAGATAGAGAAAGAGTACGAAGGGGAGTAGTGGGATAGGAAATAAACGTGTAAGTTATACATAATGTTATTTTAAAAAGTTTCATACCTGTTATCATTATTATCTATAAGCTTCCTGCCGTAGTTATGCCCCAGATAGTTTAACCCTATATAGGCAGGGAGTTATGAATTGAAATCCCTGCTATAGGTACAATATTATTAGCTTCACCAAAATGTCAAGACCGTACCGTTTAGAGAATTGTGACGGCTGCTAAATATACCCCTCTCCGTCAGCAACCACATGGAATCATTTTGCGGTCTTCCCAGATCCAGCCAATGAAGAGTGGCTAACATTTTGTAGAGATGCTTTGAGAGTTCGGGAGGAAGCTGAGTCATAGAGAGAATGTTACCGGTATCAATTAGATGTAGACAGCCTCTTTAGTTCCACTGGGATGCCAGTACGTCCCTGGGATGGAGCATGATGATAGCTGGATCATCAAAAACACTTTCATTTCATTTATCATATCACCCCCCCCCCCACTCAGTCCGTCTATCTACATACAGAGAAAAGAAGAAAAGATTTGAGAAAAGCAATCAGATTTATGATAGGATCTGAAGATTGCTGTGTGAAGCATTTTACCTGTATTAGCTTAGTTTGTAAGAAGGATTCCCTTTTGCATCTGAAATGTATCATAATGTGTAACGAAATTTAGAAAAATGACGAAACTATAGAAATCTACCAACTTTAGAAATATTGATGATATACTTTAGATTTATAGATTATGTGTTTATATTTCTCTTTATAATCTTATTTTCCCATTTTGTTCTAACTGTATAAAGTTTCAGCTCCTGATCATTACTATCTCTATGACGTTTAATATCCCCTTATCCTATTTACGAATCTCTTCCATTGATGATTACTTTAAACATGAACTATTAGGTTCATGCTTTAAAGCCTTGTGAACAGAATTTTTTTAAATTCAATTTTAGTAAGATAAATCTCAAAGCTCAGGAATGTCACTATAAGTTTGAGGTAGGAAATATAACTTAAAACAGTAACGGATTACCCCATATCAAGCCAATTATGACCAAATTAATCATACCTGATATGGGTGGTCTCAAATTATTGTATTCAGATTTAAGTTTACTATACGGATGTGGGCTGCAGAGTAAAACATCAAGTCAGATCTCTGCGTTCATGGTGTACACTTAATGACCCGGAATGAAAGTTGAGCAAAAACACTCAATTCTAAAGGCATTAGCCAATGCTATGTTGGTCAAATTTGAGGCAAGAGCCGTGTGTTCCAAATGTATTGCAAGAACAAACTCAGTCCAAAATCTGAGAAGCCTTTTTTGAAAGAGATCCTATCTTCGCCCGTTTTGTTCTACCTTCTCTGGACAAGGTGTCAAAATGAATGGGAGGTAAGACTCTATTGTTGCCATGGTGATGCTACTGTAGGATGTGGTGATGAGTCAAGCCTCTCACCGAGGGTACAGGAAGTCCCCTTGATTTGTTTCCTTCTGATCTAGGATGAGAAACTAGTCTTAAATGCGTTTCGTTATCATTGTTTTTCATCTCGTCTCGAACGTGTTTCACATGGCCTATTTGATCCTAATTTTCTAGGGGAAATCATGTAGACAAGCATAATATGAATGATTTATTAAAGTGAAAATGAATGATTGATTTATATACTGTACGTTAATTTTGCCCGTGTCAAACACCAACCAAACATGAAGAGAAAATCTAAATGTGGTTCCATGCAAAAATAGGCCACAATAACTTAAACACTAACAATAAGTGCAGGAACAAACATAACAACAATATCAACGTTGTCATGATTTCGAAATGCTTTTCAAAGGCGTGTATTACAAAACGAGGCATGAAAATAACAAAACGAGGGAAGATAAAATTATACTCGAACTCACGACACTTGTGCTTTTCTTTATATTCATTATAGGAAATGTAGTGGGAGGAGTACGAAAAATTAGTAGTAAATGTAAAAATCTGCAAGGGAAAAAATGAGAAGGGAAGGGGGTAGCGAATATGGCAGTCTGATTTAAAAATGCAAGAAAGGTGTTGCTACATTATAGTTTACATACTAACGCCCTTCTGGTACTCATCACACGAGGGGTGTAGGTAGAATAGAGATACTGTCTGAGCGTGTGATGAAGTACGGTAGAGGTGTGAATGAGAATTCAAGGTAAATAGGAGCATATAGGAAGGAAGAGAGTGTCACGAGGGTACTGATGTAATTGATGTCTCGATGAGGGTTCTAAAAAAGAACTTATTGAAGAGTTTGAGCAGACAGACGTATCCCTGGGGTGTGGAGAGGGGGAGGGTGAGGGGTAAACTCCCAATTATCTGCCAGTGTTCTTTTTTCTATGGAGGTAGATGAACTTAAAATAAAAATTTCGAAAATTATGACATCATTATCATCCTATGAAATACAAATCCCATAAAGTTTCAATTTCTCGTATATGTTTGAGCTTTATTTAGTCGAAATTGATAAACATGTTGACGTGCGTATTAAATTATGTAGATGATGCATGTATATTCATTTTTAATTTCACACGAATATTTTTAAATAGTTATTGGCATACAGAATGATGTCAAACAGAGCGAACAAAGTGTATGTACTCTTTGCGTTTATACTACTCGTAATGAACCCCTTCTCCTTCTACTTCTCTCATTATTTATCTTCATTTTTCTTTGTTCAACTTTCCCACCTCTTTTCTCATTAATGCATTATGGTCTTTCAAGCCTTCTCCCAAGTTTGAATCAAACACCAAGTTCGTTTTGATCCATATTTGCCGAGTACATATTGTTTGATCATGAGCTAATACAGTTTCATTTTTGGATGAATACTGTTGCTTTAAACATGATGGAAACAATTTCAAATCAAACATAGTTTTGATATTAACTCAAACAAACACGATTTCCAATTATGTGTCATGCTTCATTTTTAAGACCATTGAAAATGATGAATCACATAGAAAAGTACAATGTTCATGTTGACTGTCAATAGAAAAGGGCAACACAGGTGCATAACTCCTCACTAAATCAATATACTTTGTCAATGATCTACCTATTAAGTTTATAAGCAAGGGGCATACCATACCTGAACGAACATGAAAGTCGTCAAACAATTTTTTGAGAGTTTGATCTTGGTTATTTTGTGCCTACACCTTATACACCGAACCATAATACCAATTGAGCGAGCAACTTTATACAGAGGCAAATCTTTGACTGGGAAAGGTATGAATAGTGATTTTCATTTTGCTAGCTTGCCATTTTACAAACGACATAATTATTAACTTATGGAATTAATCAAATGACTTCGTTATGGCATTATTTAGCGTGTATGTGTATGAACAAGTTAATGATAGTTAAGAACTTTGCCTTGGATGTTACCCTTTTATCTGCAAAGATGATAGTGTTTCGATTTGGCAATTATATTGCGTGTAGTTGTTAATACAGTGATTCGTCGTATTTCAAGAATATACTTGTATGGTCATAATGAATGGGAGTGGATGTATATTTGAAGGTATGTGGAATATAACTGATTTATCATCAAAATAAGTTGAGCAAGTGACGTATTTAACCGTTGTCTTCGTACGCGGTTTTCATGAAAAGCAATTTTTCAAAAGACGTTCGAAATTTTATAAACGCTCTATTTTCTAGTATCCCAAACCGAAGTGTCAATCCTCCAGATTATATAGAATTGACAACAAAGGTGAACAAAAAATGTTTTCCTCCCGAAATTAAGTTTATGATATGACGATAGCGACTTTTGAGTGAGAATGTCAATCCAAATCCAAATGCACCCTATCTCTAGCATCGATCGCCTCTGTATCCAGTTGCGAAACCACTTTTGAATAGTCTGGCCGATCTTTAAAAGATTAGACATTCTGAGATAGGGAATAGAGACTCAAACATCTGAATCGTCTGTTGAATAGCCTGGCCAATACGGCTTTAGTTGTTAGAAATGAGAGTTGGGGAATCGAAGAAGCACTGAACAGGGAGCCATCAGGAAGGCACGTTGCGTCTGACTCATCCTCCTCACGGCCTTTCCCTCCTACTTAACTACCCCATGACTTCTAGATCCCCCCTCACAAACTCACCTTTCCCTAAGATTTACCCCCTTCCTCTCCCTTCACAAACCCTTCCTCTCTAAGCCGTATGTGATGTAGAATGTAGTATAGCTCTCTCTCGGTGAGCCTGTTGTTAGGAGCATATCGCCACGCCCCGGACCCGGACGAATCCTGGATTAGCTTTTCTACCTCAATTGTTACATTTTTATCGCAACTTTCGAAGTCGGTGCGTTGAAACAAAAGGAGGATTATTCTTTCTGTTGTGAGTATACGTATTCAATATCTTAGATCTTTATCGATGTAGATCTACAGCTTTATCAGATATTTTCAGGTTTCCTTCCTTTTTGTTGCTTCTGTTACGGCTGAGATCCTACTGACAAGTTGTAAGGAAAGCTGCGGTTTTTCATCACTGGTTGGACTTCTAAGATTATATTGGTTAACACTACGTCGTATATGTATATTAGCGTCTCCATTTCATACCATGATGTTTGGACATCTCTTTCTTCCTGTCGACACATCGTCGTCATGCCCACCTTGTCATCGAGGTCCGTCTCATGTTCGTGGTCGTGTGATCATGGTCCACTCATCCTTGCATCATCATCAACATCATCATCATCATCATCATCATACTCTTATCATAATAAGTACCGAAAATACAAAGCAACGTTTTTTAAGTTTTTTTCTACAGATCCACCGATAGACCCAGTATCATATTCTGGATTGTGGATGGCTCAGAGCCCCAATTCATACCAGTATTATGATCGTGTATACATCTTGAATTAAACGACTGGTTGTGGTATTTGTATGTACATCATTGTAAGTTATGCTAATAACACTACCATAACTTTGCCACGTGCATATTCGTGTTTGAAAGGCTCAGACGTCCGTTCACTAAGCTCAAATCTTGGCCCATCTTTAAAGAACACTATCGGCGTAGTTGTAAATTAAAACGTATGCATAGTTAGATGATAGCTTAGTGTTCTATAAATCTTAATCTTAAACGTTAAGATTTTGAAGTAATAACATGATAATAATTCATATTTTTCTTTGTCTCATCATCTCTCAAAGCAAAGTCTTTTCATGTACCTCCTTTAACAAAAATAAAATATGAATCTAGAGTTAGCTTTTATCTAACTTTGTTTCAACCTTTCAGCAATTTACTTCAAAATTATATGATTCATATCATCATCCTTCAGTACGGTAACAGGAATTCCGCGTCTTAGTGGTTCATTTCGTGTTATTTAAAACAGTTTTGCTTCATTTCTCTGTTTTCAAAAATATACATTACGTTATTTCAAATGGTAACATACTCCTTCTTTGGTTATTATTATTATTATTATTATTATTATTATTAAGTATTTATCGTCACCTGTATCCGGGAGGCGAAAAGCGAACTGAATCACTGTAACCCTCGGGTCTCTCCTCCCGGTTGATTCTATAATGTAATTCCCAGTTTTTGTATATAAGCATATCGACATTTAAGCTCATTGCTGACGATTTCCTTGCTTCGGAGATCACATGAGCGTAATGGTAATATATTAAATGATGAATATACCACTTTTACTATGTTATGTGTATGTTATTGTTTTAGAGACTGTATGAGTGTATATGGATATCCCAATTTTACATTTTACCGAATTCTTTTGGTTTCTAAATTTATTTATTCGCGTGAGTGTGCATATATCTCAATTTCACTTCTAACCAGTTTCTAATGTATGTTGTTCTTTTTAGAGATCGTACGAGTGTAGATGACAGCTTCAAACACCCCTGGTTGAGTGAACTGAGTACTAGAACCAAGGCTTGTGAGACCAAACTATCCACAAAAAGACTCAAGAAGTTTTTGGCAAGACGACGCTGGCAGGTAGGTTTAGAGTTGTCTCATCTATTTCGTTTCTTAAGCGCGTGAAGCGGAACTACTTAAACAAAACTTTCTTTTCCAATTCTCATGTTTCTCTTTTGTTCAAAACCTCTACCATACTTTAATATCTTTACAAAGCTACATTGCATCATTAAATAATTGCATAATGTTAAATCGTCGATCTATCTCCATTCGAAATGGAAAGCAAACAAATGTATTTGTTTCTTCAATCATTTGAACAAACGCTCCGATAGTCTAATATTTTATTTCTATTTCTGGCATTGTAATGACTCACCGACGCTTGTCTGGTAGTTGTACAGGTGCAGTTTGCCCCCATTAATATGATGCCGCCAGATTGTTGTAGATAATTGATGGACTATTGACATGTCGTGAAGGATTGTCAATATGTTGATTGATTCTTAATTTATCTTTCTATCTGGGTGATATTTAGATAAGTATTGTTCTGTGCAGTCATTGATGTTTGCATTTCTCATGATATGTTTCTTCTATACACCTGTACTTAACCACCACAGCACTCAATCAAAGATGTTTTTTGACAACATACAATGTATGAACAAGCATTTCACAAAGTATGACCCGTTTGGTTTGAGCGGCATGTGTTATGGTGAATCTAATCAAATTATATTGAGCTAAAACAAAATCACGCAGTCACTTGCAATTTTGGCAAATTCCATGAGGACAATCTAAACCTACTTTGGTAAAACAAAATCTGTAATACTTGTTGAGTGAAGGTTAGAAAAAATGAATTGACCGGGCCCTCCAGCGTTGATCCTGTAATGAGTCCTTAATTAATTGGCCCTGTTTTTCTTCCTGGTTAACAACAGTTAATTAACGAGGTCAGTTGATACTATCAGACCGAGGCATATAACAACACGGTTGAGTAGCAGGCGTGCTAGGTTGACATCAAGGAGGGGCACTGATTTTTATGATTATTTCACAGTTTTAATTGTGAGGTTCTTTTATGAAATTAGTGCATCTCTGTTGTCCTACTGTTCGGAATACCGTTTATGATGTTCGGAAGTATGACCAAAATTATACGGAATCTAGAGGATAAACCTAAATATAATTGAGAAACTGGAATGAATTTTAATTTCCCATTAATTTCCCTGCCAGGCTTACACATTGAAAAGTAAGAAATGACACAACAAAACAAAATTAAAAAACAAGAAACGCGAGGTTGGAACTTGAAAAGAAATTCCTCCAAATTCGAACGACGGAAATGTTCTGATACATATGTCTTTGCCATCTTTTTTTTTACTTTTAAAAGGGTTATATCACATCCTCATGATGTTATTTTCAATTTGCAAGATGGTGATATTTTCAACTTTTTGTTCCTCTCATTGAAAAGAAAGGAGTATCCGGATTTCAGTCTTGGACCCTTCCATAGGCCCATTTTGGGATTATTTTTCAGACAGTGAATAAAGCATTGCTTTGCTCAGTCGGAAAATATGATTTCACAAATTTAGATTGATATTTCAACACTGTACCTGTGTGATGGGTTAACCAAACTGGAATACTTGATACCTCTAGAAGATGACCATGATATGCACATACTGTGCATGCTTAATGGCCGAGCAGTATAGCTTGATTTCGCCCTCTATGGGTCTAATATCGTAAAGCGATTACACGACTGTCATTTCTTTTTTTAATACATGTACATGTATCACGTTTACAGTAGTCGTGTATAAACTACCCCATCTCCTCCAACATTTAAATTGTACAACAGAATTGTATTGTGTCCATATATTTCAATGACAGCCACTTATTTTATCATTATGATAATTCTTTTATTTTGAAGAACTTACTAACAAGGGCGTGCAATGATTCCCAATCAAAAATGGTGTTGGCAAATTTGGAATTTTAGAGTTTTATCGCCCGAGGGTGTGATACATTTTTTTTTTCTGGCAGGAATTTGTTTCTGTTATCTGTAAATTTAGTCCGACACCCTCTCCCCCTTGATGGTGTATTGACGCTCCCGATGATAGACCGTATTAGACTGTTGTCGCCAACAATCCACAATGCGACCCCATAGTTTTGAGTGATAATGACAGCTCTCCTAGCGCTCTAATGATGCTCCACCCTGTATGTCAGACTGCACTCAACACGAGACAGACAAAACATCAAATTAAATTTCCATATCTCCTCCCAATGGAGTCGTCATAGGACTGTCAAGCCCATAACAAGGGGCGTAACAAGAGCCAGAGAGACAAGGGGGTAACATACTGGAGACTGTAGACTGACCGTGTTAACGAATGCTAGACCATGTGTGATCATGGCCAGGTGGTGATTACTGTCAAATGACAACACAATGTTGCATTATACTTTTATTATTTACAACATTGTGCTAATTATGATTGCTTACAATTTCAGCGCTTTTATCTCTTTTATTTCTTAGGCATTTCGATGTCGTTTACTATAAGAGCAGAGAAATTAGAATGCATGTTATAGAGAATATTAACGTTTGAAAGGGGGGAGGGGGCTTTGAAAACTAAGTTTAGCCACTTGTGCTGACTGATGTTATAGTGCTTGGTCTTTGTAACCATAAACAGATTAAGCAAAACAATCGGATAAATAACAATGTATATTACAGGAAAAGCTTATCCATTAGCTCATGGGTGAACACATTCCTGACATCCATTGTTTGTTTGTACAAAATAATGATGTTCATTGTTTTGCTTATTCTAACTGGATAAGTACATGTACATTTCAATTGGAGAGCAAACTTTCCCTCTATACTCGATCCTGATGCTTGCATGTGGACAAAGTAATTAAGTCCTAACAGAGCTGTCAATTCATGTTTCGCTTCACCTATGAACCTAAAGTGAATCTTTTTGTTAACATGGTTAGCGCAATTACCGCCCCTCATTCATCCTAATTGTCTCAACCGGTTATTGTTTCAATATCCAGAAGGAAATAACAACTGCATCAATTCTAAGGGTTCTCAAGGGAAGCAAGAAACATCTGTTGTAAAATACTAATTTGTAAAAGTCTCAAATGTTGAGGCAAGCTGTGGAAAAATATTCAAAAATAGGAGGAAATCCGTTAACAAGCGTGACAAAGGGTTATCCCATGGACTCCTCTCTGTCATTTTAGGCTCGCAGGCTATTAACTACAAGTGTTATTATCTATGGTTACTTCAGTAGAGGTCAGTAATTTAACATCACTCGTGGGTATAGTTTAATATAATAGCTCAATCACTTGACTTGAGGCCTTTGAGTACTGTAAGACCGATATAATTAAACGAAACCAGGAGTAATTAGTTGCCACTTTACCATGCTTCGACCCCCCCCCCCCCCGCCCCCTCCTCATCCCTCGCGGGCCTGGTCCTTTTACAAATGATTTGAATAGGTGTTCAAGCTGCATTGTACCACCCAAGTAAGTCTGAGCCTCAACAGAAATCCGACGGGAAGTGTTGAAAAGTTTGACAATTTATGAGTATAATTTCAATTTTAGGCTTAGTTTCTTTTTAGTAATGATATAAATGAATTGAAAACGGATACAACACAATACTTTGTCCATAAACAAACTTTACTTGCTTGGTTCTATGTGGACGTAAACATTTTTTATTTTTCAGAATTGTACTTGAATGAGATAAATGAAAACTGTTGTTTCAATAAGGAATAGAAGTGGACTGGTGTCTGATGCACTCATAGACTTTCAAAATTTAGCAAACATTTTACGAACTGTGCCCTCCCCCCCCCCTTTCCTCTTCCTCTTTGTTAGACTTGATTCTATTCCCTCTTGTTTTCCTCTTCTGCTCTGATATTTTTTTTAATCCAAACATTTTTTGGGGTTTTGTTTACAAACTGTATTCATTATAATCCATGAAGTATCTTGCGGAGATATCTAATGTTCGCTGACAGGACTTTGTGTAGACGGATAATTCCTTTGGAACTAATAGGCAGACAGATGGTCTTGTCCATTTTTTGGTATATTTGCGACCTAGGAATTTAATTTTTGGTAATATAAAAAGTTGACGTTTTATCAGCCAGATCAATGATTTATCAGTCCATTTATCGGTCTATGTCACGTTTCCATTGTTCCAGAAATTATACACATGTTTTCATTTGCCGTGTATGTCTTGTGTGATACTTTGTACGTGACAAAGACAGTTTAAAACGTGACGTGGTCGTTAACAGGTTAATAAAACGGTTCAGTACAGTAGTTTTTTCTTCTTTTCAAGTCTGTTACAGAATATTGCGGTAATGGGAAACATGTTGTAATGTAGGGTGAAACCTCCCCCCCCCCCCACCCTCTCTCTCTCTCTCCCTCTCTCTTCCACCATGTTCACTCTATTCTACACCCTTCTTCCCCCTCCCTCCTTATTTCTCCCTCTCTCAGTCTGTCTCCCCTATCCAATATCAATGATAAATGACTGAAGGTCAATGACCGTGACCTAAGTTCAAGAGGAGGTCAACGAAACACGTAAGGTCAACTGTTAACCTTTGACCCATAAAGACTGATTGATATACTCTGAGGATAAGCCGATGATACATGTATAATATCCTCATTGCCAGAGGGATTGTAATGATTCTCCTTATATTTAGATATTCCTTGAAGTCAATGATACGGGGAAACCGCCATACGTACCAAAATATAACAAATATATTTGTATATATTTTGCAGTGTTATAATCAAATCGATATATTTGTAATTTGCAAAACGTGGCTAAAATATACCAAACCAAGATTTGATATGAATACGCTTCATACTTACGTTATTATCTTCCACAAAACTTTCGAAGTTTTATGTTCAACTTCAATATGCTGTCTTTTTTCATGAAATTGTTGCTTATACATGTATGTTGTCAGAACTTAAGTGATTGACCTGAAGTGTCATAAAGATTGACCAAAAAGGTTCTGAGAAGATAGAAACGTTATCCATCAAGAATGAACCATATTGTCACAATCATTTCATGACAAATAAAATAAGGAAAACTAGTCCAGTGTATTTTTAGTGAGGAACACTGTAATGAAATCCCA